ACTTAAGTGATTTGCTTGGAGGCATAATGCTGGCGGATATAAATAGTATGCAACTTTGTGCCATATACTCAAATTTGGGAGCCAAGTTTCTTCTAAGCCTTCCAAAACCTTCAATTTTAAGTTTGAAATTGCTTGAACATCATTCTCATCGAATTTACAAAGTTCTTTTATTCGATGAGTTACAGGTATTACGTAGCATAAGAAAGGGGTGGAACAACCCTGAAGTTTTTTAAAAATGATTTCAAAATCTCGGCAAAGCTTAACCAAGGCTTGAATTATATATATATTTAAATTTGTAAGCCTACTAATTTCTCCATTATTTGTCAAAATTTGATTAATTTTCAACCGATTGTCTGCTATTGACTTTAGCATATAAAAATGTGAGTTCCATCGGGTTGGACAATAGCTTTTCAACGACGTTTGCAGCATATGTTGCATACCCGATTTTTTAAAATATTTTACTAACTTTTTACATGACAAAATTATGTCTTTGAGTTCATCTGTAGATTCAACACTTGATTGTAAAATGTTAGAGAAAAGGTGACTTGAATAATTAAGCCTTTCGTTGTTTTCTAATGCCTTTTTCACGTTGCTTCCTCGATCGGTGACGAAAATAACGCTATCTAAACTATGAATGCCAAATTCACCAAACAGACTTCGTAGCTTGTTTTTAATATTAATTCCAGTACATTGCGAAAAGTCCATAGACTTTATCCCAAGTACAATGTCATATAATTTAAAGTTTTTTTGAAAGTGCAATGTGGCACACAAAAAATCTCGTTTAATGTAGTTGTCTTTCCACAAATCAATTATGGCTGAACAGTGACCGGACTCTACAATACTGCTTAATTCACATGATATCTCTTTTTTTTCATGTTCGCCTTTTTTTCTATTTTGCGCGAAATTGTTGTAGGGTCTGTAAGCAAATCGTCTATATCTACATTTTTGCCATATTTCATGCCAATAGCTATAAAAAATTGTATTAGATTCCTAAATCYGGAACCTTCTACGGTTGAAAAAGGACGACAGTCTGCAATCATCCAATCCGCGCAAGTTTCTAAGGCTAGTTTTCTATCGTCTTCACTAACTTTCTGTTTAGACTGCTCTTTTGTATGTAAAATGTAGCATTTGTGTCTATTGAGATTCGAAGTCTGCATGTAACGATATTTAAACACTTTTTTGCAATTTCGGCAACACACCAAACCATTTAAAAGACTTCCGTCGTCTTTTATAATTTCTGCAAACATATCCCATATAGCACTTYTACCCTTTCGTTTGTCATTTAGTTTATAAAAACCATTACCAATTTTATCTACGACTGCTTCGGTATCAATAGTAAACTTTTAAACTAAAAGAAATGAAATACTTACATACATTTGTATATATATATTTAATAAAGAAAGTATTCTACCAAACTAAGTTAGCAAAATAAAACAACTTACAATTACTGAAATAATTCCACTTAATTATTTTTTTTTTCACAACTAGCAATGCGCAGAATGAATACACAAAAATAAACGATACGAGTAACTGCTCAGAAAGTTCAGCAAGTTCAGCAAGTGGAAGCCATAACACGAATCAATACTCAAACTCATTCGTACTTTTTTCCACTCTCACGACTCAGTGAGTCTAATAAGATTTTTAGAGTTAGAACCAACTAAGACACAAATTGTCGCTCATATTTGTATATGAGTGCTGTGTGGATTTCTATGATTTGGTTGGAATGAGTAATAGCATTTTATGAATTAGCATTGATACACACTTGCACCAATTGTTATGGCTCATGACTTAAGTACACCAATTTTATTGGTACTCAATGCAGATCTCTGGTATGTATACATATGTACGCTAGTTTGTTGGCGAAGCTGTTACAGCGGCAATGGAAGCGGTAACAATCGGCGATCGTTTGTTAGTTTCTTTCGGCACAGCTCGGATTTTCTACTTGTTATTATGAATGTATGTACATATATATGTGGCTCGCATTTGCTTTTGCTTACAAATGTGACAAAGAAATAATATATGTACATACATATGCCAAAGAAATTCTATTGTTTAAATTTAAGAGAAATCAAATTAAAATTATTTTTATATAATTTTTCCCGATTTTGTAAAAATAATTAAAATGTTTATAATTTTTCGAAAAAAAAAAGAAATGGTTCATATAATATAAAAGGATCACGCATATGTGACAATGGGCTCAGAGAATGCTTTTTTACATTCTCTGTGTGACTTTGTATATTTTTCTACAAAGCATTTCTCTTTATTTATTCTCGCATGAATATAGTCTTTTAACATATATTTTTGCCATTGCACGTGCTCAATTCTGCTAAATAGCAGCGAGAACGGCGAATTCCTTTCTATAGATCTATCAGCTATGTTAGCCGTCAAATCAAATATTATACAGAATTCGATTGGTACCTTCTCTATACTTTACATTCTCTGGTTAGACGATGCACGGCCTTCAAGCCACACCACTGTGCCCGTCGGAGTGGGGAGCGTGAGGGTTTTTCGTTACGGATTCGTTGGATTCGTTTAACTTGAATTAACATCAAAGAAAAAGAAATACTGCATGAATAAAATAAATAAATAATTATAATTGCATAAGGTGATACAAAATGCTATGCAACAGGCAGTTCCCGAGTGCCACATGTCTTTTTTTTTTAGGTTGGTAATGCTGTCAGTGACATTTATGTGAAATTTTACGTCAAAATATTCATTAGTGTTTGAGATACGTGTCGTTTTGTGAGCTGCTAAAAGTGAGTTTTTCGTTTTTTGCGATGTCGAAATTTGTTGAGCAAAGAATTTGCATTAAATGATCATTTCGCCAAAAACTYAACCCATATCGTTCCGCAACCACCGTATTCAACTGATCTGGCGCCGTGCGACTTCTGACTGTTTTCATACGATATTCAAGCCGTAGCGAAGACGGAACTGAAGGCCGTCCCGAAAAGTGACTACAACCAATATTTCGAAGATTGGAAAATCCGTTGGCATAATGTATTACATCAAGTGGGGATTACTTTGAAGGGGATGAAATTTATTTGGAAGAATAAATAAAGAATTTTCAGAATAAATACAATGTCACCTTATTTTTTGGGCACTATTTAGTACTAGTGGATCCGGTAACGCGTTCCTGTGTTATACATTTTATACTATTATTCATGTCATAAACTATTCAATACAGTGAAAATTTTATTTACGAGTAAAGGCGAAACCGCTTTTGTCGGTGTTGGAATCCAATGGATTGTAGTTGAGATTTAATATGTTATTATTATTATAATAATTTAAATATGTTCATACAAATAAATTATATTGAAAAAAATAACGAATTTAAGGCTGCTTTCTCAATGTGTCTTTACCAGTTTCTGTGCCCAGTTAATAGAGTTGTCCGCTTAATAAAGCGTTCCCTGTATTTTTTATTTATGAATATTTTTCACCATCCTTTCTTCTAAGCTGGCTCAATGTACTAAATTTTACTAAAATYGGTTCGGCAGTTTAGGAGTCCATCGCGGACAAACAAAGTGGCACGTGAATTTTATATATAAAGGTTGGATATATGCGTCGTTTTATGAGGCTCTAAAAGTAAATTCTTCGATTTTACCATGTCTGAATTTATGGAACGCCACATTTTCAACTAATATCGTGCCACAACCACCGCATTCGCCTGATTTACCTTCGCGTAACTTCTGGCTATTCAACAAATTCATATGAGGGGATTACTTTGAAGGAGGTGAAATGGGTACAAAATTCAATTTTTATTTTGATCACAGTGGGATGTACGTATTAGACGTGACACAAAAAATCATTGAAAGAACAGTATAATAAATATTTTAAAATAATAAATATTTAACCAACATACAATTTAGTATACAAACTGTATTTCATCAGTGACCACCTACTTTTACATAGAAATTAGATTCAGTAATTTTGTATTTAAACAACGCAGAGTTGATAAAAATTTTTGATTCCTTATGGTTTATTATTTAGTTTCAGTGACAATTACTTTTTATTAATATTTAGAGGAAGGTCGTATTATAATTGTGTATATCAACTACTTACTATTATACTATATATATATATGTATATTATATATATAAATAATAAACTCACATATAATTTATCATACATAATTTAAAAAAAAAATCAAATACTTTAATATTTTAAGTTATCTACATTAACCAAAACTTTTCAATATTGTATAGGTGTATAAAATGACCTATCCAATATACTCGTCGTACACAGTTCCAAGACGGGTATATACTGGAGCACGTATTTATACTTCACCTGTTCGAGTTATAACTTCCCCAGCTCGAGTAGTGACACGAGTTATACACTCACCATCTCCCATACGTGTTGTTCGCACAACTACACGGGTTATTTCCTCACCGGAACGTACAATGTCATACACCTACACAACACCAAAGATATATAACTCATCATATTTACCAGCAACCATTTATAGCTCGTATTTACCCTCTACTTATGTATACTCCACTCCATCCTATTACTACTCGCCCATGTCTCGTGTGTTCACCCGCTCGCTGAGCCCTCCAATCAGGATAACAACTTCTCCAGTGCGTTCTACAACATCATATTTGAAGAGAACATTACCAGGATATGGCGCTCGTGCTCTTACCAATTACCTCAACACTGAACCCTTTGCCGTGAGTGTTCAAATTTTAAAATATTGATTATTTTAACAGCATTTTGTTTACAAGAGGTGAATACAGATTAAACCACGAACTGGTTATCTCCGTTTTATCTGAAAAAATAACACACTTATATGATTAATATGTTAGTAGACATTTGCAACCCAATTGTTAAAAGTATTTAATAAAATTCTAATTAACACGCGGCATGTCCAAACATGAGTCTATATGTATTACAATATATTAAAAAATTGATTTGCAGGCTTTTCAGGATGAAACGAACCGTATTCGCCACAGAGCGCAGTCGTTGATTCGTGATATCCACTCTCCAGTAGTTCGCAGATCTCGTAGTTGCACACCATTTCCCGTAACTGGGTAAGTGTGGTATAGTTCAAAAACGTTTGTTCTTATAGTATTTATGATTTATCTTAGATATACTTATGAGCCAACATCTAAGCTTGCTCTTGATGCGTATGTCGAAAGAATAACCAATCCTGTACGTCATGTAGCCAAGGAAGTTCATAGAATCTCTCACTATCCTGAGCCAGCTAAAAAATATGTTGGTATGTATAAATTTAATATTTTCGTGGTTTTAATCGCGAGACCAGTGCTTTCTGTGAATTTACTTTTGTGAATATTATCGAGTAATTTTCATATTAGCTGCCTTCACCAAGTATTGGAGAGCAGTGAATCGAAGAAAGCAAACGGGCAACTATTCCCGTACATGTCTTCTGACGCATGCCCATTTGAGTTGTAATTCATTCTTGTTACGAAAATTTTTTATTGTCATGTCAAAATACGTGTTACGAACTCCTTAGCTTTGCTTTATTACACTGTGGAACATTTTTGGGATTATTGTCGGGGGAGGGGGGGGGGGTTTGGGATGGGGTGAGAAATTCCAAGTCAGGGTGATGATACTAGGTCAATATAGTAAAACCCTCAAAGGGTTTGGCGTTTGTATGTGTCAGTTTTTTTTATGACCTTTTAAATTTTTTCCTTATCTTGATGTTTTTGCCAAAATGTTACAACTAAGCGAAAAAACATCAAGATAAGGAAAAAATTTAAAAGGTCATAAAAAAAAACAAATCGATTTTTGTTCACCATGCGGTTGTTGTCATTACGAGTACTAATCAAGGTATACAAGGTTTGTCCGTATAGTAATGGTACTGACTTTCTTCCGCAGCGACTGTACTTCGGAGTGTGCGCGAGTTAATTTTTACATGAAGTAAAAAGGAGTCAAAAGCTGCATCGAAATGTGTACACTTATTAATACTCTTAAGACTAACTTATTATATAAATCCTTACTTCTATTTATACTAACTAGTATATTTACTTATTACTATTATGTTTAGATACAGTTGTACTCGTATACTTATTATATTATTTGTTTACAAATTGCTTGCTTAGATACATTTCCTTTGTTCTAAGATAAGGTTGTTGTGGAATTCAAATTTAGGTTTATTTTGATGCATCTTCTTTAATGGTATTTTAATACTTTCTGCTTCAATCATAAGGAATACGTTAATTAACTCGCACATCGATTGTAATCGGTAGAGGGTGTTCCTAGCTAACGAACAAGCGGCTGGTCAATTGTCTCCGAGCACCTGGACGGAGGCGTTTGATATAATCAAGCTGACTTACCCAGATATTACTTTAGCAAGAAGTGGTATATTTTAGTGGCACTAGGCCTTTTTCGAAGACTAGGAAGAGGTCTCTGATGATTATTGGAAGAATGAGCAAATCCAAAATTAAAACGATGCTCATTGTGTTTTTTGATTTTTTTCTCCTGAACAAACCGTCAACGTCTAATTTTGCGTGGAAGTCCTCAAGACACTCCAGATGTGACCTCCTCCTCCCCCCGAACTTTGTTTTGTTTCCTTTTGAAGTTGAAATCCGAGAGGCTGCCTGTCTTTCCGCCCACCCGTGCAACATAATACCTTGAGTAAAAATTTAAAGTTAAATGAAGTTTGGTATTACAGTTAGGCGAAATCTGACCACTGCCTATTTCGCTTTGCAATACACAAATCAAGCACCAATGAAAACAAAAAATTAAAATTTAAATTATGTAAGAGGTCTAAATTGTCAAAATGAGATCATATATTTCCAACCTCCCAGATACCAAATATGTGGACCCTACAACCTGACTCTGTCCAAAAATATCGATCAATCTAAGAGCTATGTTGTTTAAATTCAGAGAGAACTTTTGTCTGATAATTATGTAGCGTTTTGTTAACAATGGATATATTGGTCAATAGGGGAAATATTATATTTCGTATTTCTGATCAAATTTCAACTTATTTGTTTTTTTTATGCTTATAATGAACTGTAATGAACCAAATGTGTACCATTTCGGTCGACTAGTTTTTGGTAGTTTTTCGCTAGAGACATTATTCCATCCGTATAAAACTTTCATAGTTTCTCAGCGTTGACCTCTCACTTTTTGACGAGCCATCAAAGATGTGTATGGTCTAGCGTTGCCCTGATGGAGGACGAAGCCTTTTCTTTTGATCAGCTCTGGCCGTTGTTTTCGATTGATTACTTCAATCTCATCAGTTGTTGACAGTACAATGTAGACAGTACAATGTAGAATCAATCAATCGTTGCTCGGCTGGAGCAGCTCATAGTGAATGATTATTTTCCAATCCCACCAAACGCTCAGCACAGCCTTTCAAGGCGTCAATCCTGGTTTTGCGACCATTTGTTGAGCTTCATCACGCTTTGACCATGATCTCTTTCGCACGTTATTGTATATTGGATTAACTTTTCGTCTCCTGTTACCATTCGCTTTAGAAACGTTTCGATTTAATTTTTTTCAGCAAAGAATCGCAGATGTTAATTCGGTTCATTAAATTTTTCACAGACAATTCACGTGGTACCCAAGCATCGAGCTTCTGTTTGTAGCCAGCCTTTTTTAAATGATTCAGAACCGTTTGATGATGAATGTTAAGCACCTTAGCGATGTCATGGCTGCTTACGTGACGGTCCTCGTCAATCTTTTCCATAATTTCATCGACTTTTTCAACGATAGGCGACCATAGCGAGGTGCATCTTTCACATAGAAATTTCCAACGAGCGAATCATTGTTGTGCTACACGAACAGATACAGCATTGGAAACTTCATAAATTTCAATGGTGGCATGCATGGCATTCTTTCCTTCAAAAAAATTTCATAATATAGCGAATTTATTTTTAGCCTTTCTAACACTATATGGTACAGACTTTTACAATTTTTAATTGCATTTTCCTGCAATTGTTGCGTATACTTCCACATGCAAATGAAATAACTGTTACCTCATAAAAATTATAAAACAAATCGAGATATCGACAGACAAACATTCGCAAAACGGTAACGTTGACGTTGGGCATATCGTCATTGAATGATAGGATAGAGCTACCAGTGTCAAATTTATATTAAATAAAATGATAGAATTTTCTAATTTACCAGCTGACATGATTATTTTGAAAAACATATTCGCACATTTGATACTCTATAATCGCTATAAATATCTTCAAAATATATCCCCTTTATTACCCAATATTATCACTAAGATACTCTACTCATATTTAAATATAAAGGCAAAAGTCATCTGGCTTCAATGAGGATTTGCGGTGATAAAGCATATAATATTAGAAGGCCAATGTACGATTCGGACAAGGTCCGTACTGATATAAATCTTCTATCATGGTATTTAAGAAATTCTCATGGAAAAGGTGACGAAAAAAGTAAGGAGAATTATTCCGAGAAAGCAGGTAAGTACGCCAGCAGAAATACAATTTAGACATCATCAATGTCACATGCACACCCTCTACTAATAAAACACGACACTATTGGTTTGGAAGTTAGTCATGGTCACAATTGCTATTTCTCAAAAGACATTTTGAATTTCATTATATTAACTTACTTTAGCATGTATAAATAAAGTTAGTGCAAACATTTTCCTTGCAACATCGTGATTTGCTGGTATCGCAATTTCGTATTGCATTTTTTCATTTATACTCTTGCCACATGTGGCTACAGAGTTTCATTCACCTAACGGTTTTTTCAGCTAAAACTAATCGAGATATATAGTATATAGGGTCATAAATATGTAAATGATCAGGATCATGAAGCGAGTTTAAACCTGGGTGACAGTATGTCTGCCCGTCCGTCCGCGCAAGCTGCAACGTGAGTAAAAATTTAGATATTTCAATAAAACTTGGTATGCTCGTTCCTTGGCAAAAATAAACACAGACATAGATGGGCGTAATCGGCAAACTACAATACTAAAAAAATGAACAAGTAGGCGTGGTCCCGCCTTCTAATTAGTTTAATGTACATAACTCTTAAACTGCTGAAGCTACGATGACTAACATATCCGAAATATAGCTGCATGTGTTTCCTCTCCCCTTAACAGTATGCCTGTGTGTTATAAAAGGGGTGAACCGGTTAAATAATTCCCTTAGTCCCTACGTGTAAGATTGTAAAGATTTTCGAACTTCCTGCCAATATGTAAGTGAATGTTTTTCTTAAAACGGTCAATATTTTTGCATAAATATAACGAGAAACTAACAAGTCTTACGTAACGGAAGGTACTTCCCTGATAGCAGGATTAGCGAGAAAAATGTGTCAAAAGCTGATTCCATGGTAAAAACGCAGAAATCAGCCATCTTTGTTTATTTTCATTTGAAAAATCTTGCCATTGCTCAATACGCATATATAGTTTTGTGCACATCTAAGTTTTCAATTACAATTTTTCATAATATAAAATATCAAAACTGAAAACAAACTATTAAAACTAGTTTATATATTTATAAATAATAGCATTCGACTCTGATTTTGAGTTATCTTAAGAAAATTTCAAACATATTGAAGATAACTTTTATAATTACTACATTATATCGAGCTTGGCAACCCTGCGTTGTGAAAGAGCAATCAGCTGACATCTTCCTACGGCAAAGAGAGAAGTGAGTAGCATTTTTCGCTAAGGTGGCACCAATTAGAGATTCCAAGCGAAGCCAGGTCCATCTCCACCTGGTTTTTCCAAGAGAGTGGAGGTCTTTCTCTTATCGCAACGTCGACTCATCAGTTGTTGTCATCGTCCATGCTTCTACATTATATAGCAGGACGAGAATAATGAGTGCCTTATAGAATTTGGTTTTCGTTTGTCGAGAGTGGAGATTACTTCTCAATTGCCTGCTCAGTCTGAAGTAAGAGTGGCAAGACGAAGTTATCTACGACTTCGAAGTTATGACTGTCAACAGTGATTAAAGATTAAAAAATAATAACGATTAAAACAGTGTGTATTAAAGTACTTTGTGACATGTTTTCAGTTTTTCTTCGCCGCCCCAGCCGCTTTGTTGTTCTTCTTGGGGAGACATGTAGTAGAACAACAAAGCAGTGGGGGCTGATGAATTGCCGGCAGAGCTATTCAAACACGGCGGCGAAACCTGATAAGGAGCATGCATCAGCTTCTTTGTAAAATATGGTCGGACGAAAGCATGCCTAAAAATTGGAATTTAAGTGTGCTATGCCCAATTAACAAAAAAGGAGACCCCACAAGCCTCCTCAACATCGCATATAAGGTTCTATCGAGCGTATCGTGTGAAAGATTAAAGCCCACCGTCAACAAACTGGTTGGACCTTATCAGTGTGGCTTTAGGTCTAGCAAATCACCAACCGACCAGATATTCACCATGCGCCAAATCGTGGAAAAGACCCGTGAAAGAAGAACCGACACACAAAACCTCATCGTCAATTTCAAAGTTGCTTTCGACAGCATGAAAGGGAGCTGCCTTTATGCCGCGATGTCTGAATTTTGTATCCCCGCAAAACTAATACGGCTGTGTAAGCTGGCGTTGAGCAACACCAAAGGCTCCGCCAGAATCGGGAAGGACCTCTCCGAGCCGTTCGATACAAAACAAGGTTTCAGACAAGGCGACTCCCTATTGTGCGACTTCTTCAACCTGCTTCTGGAGCAAATAATTGGAACTGCAGAACTAAATAGAGAATGTATCATCTTCTATAAGAGTGTACAGTTGCTGGCGTATGTCGATGATATTGATATCATCGGCCTCAACATCCGCGCCGTTAGTTCAGTTTKCTCTAGACTGGACAAGGAAGGAAAACAAATGGGTCTGGCAGTGAACGAGGCCAAGACGAAATATCTCCTGTCATCAAACAAACAGTCGTCGCACTCGTGACTTGCCACTCACGTCACTGTTGAGAGTCATAACTTTGAAGCCGTAGATAATTTCGTCTACCTTGGAACCAGCGTAAACAACCAACAATGTCAGCCTGGAAATCCAACGCAGATTATCTCTTGCCAAAACATGCTACTTCGGAATGAGTATGCAATTGGGAAGGAAAGTCCTCTCTGACAAACAAAAACCAAACTCTATACTCCAGCTCTGAAAGTATTCGACGCTGTACCCGCCGGGGGAAGCAGAAGAATAGGAAGATCCCCACTCCTTTGGAAGGACCAGGTGGAGAGGACCTGGCTACGCTTGGAATATCGAATTGGCAACACATACTGAAAAGTAGAAACGACTGGCGCGCTGGCGCAATTAAGAAGAAGAGTGATTTTTGGTCAAAGAATCGCTCACAAGCGTCGATCGATTAGACGGCGCATTATCGTGCAACGAACGCGACAAATACGGCGCACTAAAGGCTTCAAAACTCCAAGGTAGAATACCGCATTAACGTATTGGCCGAGTGGAACAGATTCATTGTTGAATTCACGTCTTTACTTTTGACTTCTCCATGTGCAATTTTTTTGCTTTTATATCGTCCGGTGCCTTCTATTCAGCACTCTGGTGTTTCGTTTCGGGATCATAATTCGTTTCGTCAATAATCGTAATATTGTAAAGGACGTTTTTGTCCTTTTTGACCTCTTTAATRATGTCCTTCGAATGTTGGATTGTGAGAAATTTTTGGTCGTCAGTCAATATGTGCGGAACAAAAAGTGCACACACCTTTCGTAAGCTCAAATGTTCGGTCAAAATGCAATAAATCGATGTTTTGTAGATGTTCAATTCTATTTCCGGGAATTTCAATGACGATTTCGGTTGATTTTTGATGAATACACGCATAGTTTCGATGAAATTTCTGGTGGTCACGGATTTTGATTGGCCCACATGTTAATCGTCATTTATATCCTCACGACTACTTTGAAAACGTTGAAACCACTCGTACACTCTGCTACGGGATAAGCAATCTTCGTCATAAACTTGGTTTATCAATTGAAATGTTTCAGTAAAAGTTTTACCAATTTTAAAACACAATTTAATGCTGGCTCTTTGTTCGAAGCTCATTTTCGCACCAATAACACAAACATACTGGCCCTTAAAACGCAATAACTTCACATATGTCATGAAATTCTCACAGAACAATCAATAGAGATAGCACGTTCTAACTCATTAGTCGACATGTAGATTTCGCCACCAGGGGGCGCTTGATTCAAAAAGATTACTTTACCTTGTAACCTCTTTTTTTTGAAAATGATATTTTAAGTTACTCAACCATACAATATTTAAATTTTCTATTCGGTTCTAATATTTTTGCCAATAATTTTTCTGTTTAATAAATGTTATTTGCAAATTTCTGTGAAGCTACTATAGTTCAATGTCAATAACGGACATTGACATAGTTTTCTCTTTTAAATATTAAAAAATTGTTCCCTTAATTAAGCTTTATGAGATGAAATAGTGTATAGGTAAGGAAGTACCTTACGTTATATTATATTTCCTATGCGTTCTTACCAGTACTATGTGCAAGTTCTATTTATTGAAAAAAAATTAACGAAACTATGCTCACTTTTAACAAATTTTAACCTATTACATATTCTGAAACCTCATTATTTTTGTAACTTTTCCTTGCTCTCTTATTTATTTGATTATATTCAGCCCTTTTTATTTTCAAAAATCGTATCATTAACAAAATGATGCTACATCTGTGACTAACTAAATACATACAAACTACTATTATATTTTAGGGGAGTTTACTAACGTTATTTTGTTTTTTATGATTGATTGATTCTTTACAGTTGATGCTGTTGAAGTTGATGCCTAAATGATTATGCCTGCTTTTGATATGGATTTGTAATTTAAGTACAATGTATATCTGTTTCTTATATTCTTTATAAAAGCTTCTTTCTCAAACTGATCGTAACCAATATCGGGGCTAACAAAAATTTTAACCGGCCAATAACTTGCCATTTATGACTAGAAAAAATAAAAGTCACATATTTATATACGTTTTTATAGAATTTACGCATCTTGTAAAACTAATGATATCATTTAAAGATCCAAACTTCACTATTATAGTAAAGGATTTTCGAATGTTTTTTAACAGGTTAATTTATTTATGTGAAGATAAAAAATATTTATTTTGTACTATTCGTAGAATATTTTGTTTGACATTATATACCAAAAAATTGCAATAACTAAAATGTGGTGATTGTTTTTATATGGATACATAAATAAAAGTATTTATACATGTATTCTTATATGAATTTTATATGTCCAACTAAGTTTTTTAATATATCTACGTTTAACTGGTTACATATAGGGCGCCAAAAAAACGGTAAAATCGCGTATGTGGTAAATATTATATTCCACGTGTTATTGTGAACAACTTTGCATAAAAGAATTCCTAAAACCGCTTTCGAACCACTGATTTTTTAACTGAAGTTTAATTTTTATATGAATGCATTTCGAATTTCTATTCAGAATTTGTCGGAATCGGCCGAATCGGGCAGCTATAGGATGTTCTT